TAAATAAGTTTTGAAATGTTCTGTCCCATGTACATTATCATAGCTCATTGGACTTTGTCTATTTTGTATTATTGCTTCCGCAGCCCCTTATTATTTGCTAATCTCTTCAGAGGCCTTTGGTAATCCACAGATTACTGGCCGGTTACGGTGCTAAACCTACAGGGACGGGTTTGGGTCGTGACAATAATGTTATTCTATATGAAGTTCTTCACATCAATATCCCAAATCTTTGCAAGGGGTTTAGCTTCTACCCACTTTGTGAAGTAATCAGTTACTACCAGTAGAAACTTCCTTTGCCTAGTTACTTGGGGCAGTTGTCCAACAAGATCCATGCCCCTACAGGGAAAATGGCCAAGGGTTGGATACTGGGTTTAGATCTGTTGCTGGTTGATGTATTAAAGGGGTGAACCTTTGACATTTTTACACTTTTTGACGTAGGCTTTAGCATCCTTATGCATGTAGGGCCACTAGTACCCTTGAGTAGTGGCTCTATAAGCAAGTGATTTACCTTTAGTGTGGCTTCCACATATTCCTTCATGTATTTCATACAAGAAGTCTTCAACTTAGGAGGGATGCACACATCTCAAAAGATGACCAGTAAAAGACCTTTTATAGAGATGTCATTCTGTTGTTAGGCTAAACCACGCCGACTTCAGTCTGGTCTTGTGTGTCTCTTTTTGGTCATCTGGAAGCTTTCCATCTCTAAGGAACATTATTATTGCGTCCATCCAACTTGGACCCATCTCCATACATATTGCTTCATACTTTGTGATTAGTGGTTCCACACTTGGGCCTGACAAATAATCAACCATTATTGTCCTTGCCTCCCCTGATTTCATTACACTAGCCAGGGCATCGGCATGGCTGTTGTTATCTCGGTTAACTTGCTGTAGTCTGCAATCCTGAAATAAGGCTAGTAATTTGAAAACCTCTTTTACATAAGCTATCATTCTTTCATCTCGGGCTGCATACTTGCATGTTGCCTGGTTCACAATAAGCTGGGAGCCACAGAAGACTACCACCTCGTCGGCTTCCATTACTGCTGCCAATTTCAATCCTACGATCAGTGCTTCATATTTTGCTTCATTGTTTGAGGCCTTAAACCCCAAACAAATAGATTGTTCTTACATTCGCCCATTTGGCGATACTAGTACTACTCTTGCCCCTGTTCCTTGATGGTTTGAACTCTCATCGACAAACAAGTGGAAGGAGTCGATGATGTAAATATCGCAGGGCTTGAGTTTATCTTCTTTCTTCTACTCTGCTGTGGGGTTTTTCATTCTTAGCTGGGTCTCTTCTTATTCCCCCAGATACCCTAAGCCGCGGCTCACCGGAGACCGATGTGGGATGGCACCAGGTGTGAATTCGGCCACAAATTCAGCCAAAACCTGGTCCTTAATTACTGTTCTGAGCCTAAATTCTAGGTCATATTGGCCGAATACTACTGTCCATCTGGTTACTTTACCTGTCAAATCTCTTTGTTGTAAAAGGGACTTCAAGGGATGCTCAGTCAATACCACAATCTTGTGGGTTTGGAAGTAATGATTCAGCTTTTTGGAAGCCATCACTAAAGCCAGTGTCAATTTCTCCAGGGGCAAGTACCTGGTCTGTATGCCTACTAGGGTTTTACTCACATAGTATACTGTCCTTGGTTCTCCCTTCTCTTTTCTGGTTATCACTGCACTCACCGTGTGCTCCGAAACTGCCAAGTATAGGAATAGGTCATCTCCAGGTACTGGATTTGAGAGAACTGGAGCTATAGTCAGGTATTTTTTCAAGTCGGCCAAGGCGACTTCGCACTTCTCTGTCCACAAAAAATTTGTGGCTTTCTTTAATAAACTAAAAAATAGTTTACATTTATCTGAATTTCTGCTTATAAACCTATTGAGGGTTGCGGCCCTTCCTGTTAACATCTGTACTTGTTTTGCCGACGTTGGACTTTTCAAGTCCAAGATAGCCTTAATTTGATATGGGCTTGCCTCAATGCCCCTTATGGTAACCAAGTATCCTAAGAACTTACCAGATCCCAACTCCAAATGCACATTTTGAAGCATTGAGTCGGAGTCGATATGTTCTAAGGATGTTGAAAACTGCCTTCAAGTTGGCCAGATGATTCTCAAGTTCTTTGGTCTTCACGACCATGTCATTAATGTATACTTCTACTGTTTTGCCAATCAGATGTCTGAACATCTTGGTCACCAATCTCTTGTGGGTTGCTCCTGCATTTTTCAACCTGAAAGACATCACTCTGTAGCAATATAGCCCTTTTAGAGTGATAAATACAGTCTTCTCCTTATCAGGGGGGTACATTGCTATTTGATGGTACCCCCTGTAAGCATCCAGAAAGCTCATCCTTCCATGCCCTGAAGGGAAATCCATTAATTAATCGATCTTAAGGAGTGGGAAACTGTCTTTGAGACAAGCCTCTCATTCTGTTCCCAAAGGATGAGGGGAACACCTTGCAAAGCAACGGTTCGTTCCCGGTATATAGTGCCATTGAGTTCAAATATAAGCCGATGTAAAAGTTAGGATCGGACTTATTGTCGTATATCTGGAATCTCAGCATGTGGAACCGTTTTGGGTCTTCAAACTTATCCAATTCTACTGAGAATGGCGTTCTCGGCTCGACCGGAGATGTGATCTCGGCATCTTGTCGCTTCCTCTGGAGGTAATCCCTCAAATCCTTCTTAGTCCATCCAGGAGCTCGACTGTCAACGGATTTCAGTCTTTTTGGTGCGTTGCTCCTGGTGTCGTTATGAGTCCTCTTGGACCTCCCTTCATTCATCGTGTTAAAACAAAGCTCATTCCCTTGAATATGCTGATGTTTCTTGACATAAGTTTCCTTGGCACGTGGTATCTTCTGAGACTCTCCTCTCATCAATTCTCCTCGCCCGACCTTCCGTGAAGGCCGATGCAAATGCTCCTTTGCCTTGTCATGTTGAGGAAATGCAGGGATTGCTTTCTGCCCGCCTTTTTGGGCATCGTTCTTGGCCTCTAGAATCGGCGTGTCCTCCAATGGCAACGGTGGCTGCATGACGTTGTTCTGCATCATGAAGTTGACAACCGATTGTAGGTTTGCCAATTTGTTTGCCATCCCATTCATCTCGCCATCCTTCCTCAGGTATCTATCTTTCTATACTTGGAGGTCGCTTTCGTTGTAATACTCGCCTCAGCTTGCCTTCTTTGGTACGTCTCCTTCTTGGCCGACGTTATTCTCCCGGGATTTTGTTCCCGGGGTTGTTCATCACAATTCTCTTCCTCTACATTAGGATCGGTGTGTTTGCCACTTCCACTAGGGATATCGTCCCCGACTTTTCTTTCTGCCCGTTGTTGGCCATCTATTCTTTTTACGTTCCCACAGACAGTGCCAAATTGTGGGTGTTGATTTTTGACCACACAACCAAATAGGAAATACTCAGCAGGAGAGCACCGGCAGAATAGATTAAGCCCGAACAACCTGTCACAGAAAGATAAGAGTTCGGCAGTGATTCGTCCACCCAGGGGCACTCCGCCGATCAAGTCAATAATTATCCTCCAAAGATAGCCAATAGTGCTAAACTCACTAGACAGAGTATAAAAAGCATACCTTAGACCCACGAGGGTGCCTTACTTTTATAGCCAGCACTAACTTGATCCCTGTAGAAGCCTAGCTTCAATGAACTTTGGCTCAATACTTATTTTGGACTCCCAGCTAGACTAAGATAAATTCCCTAAGAGCTTTATTTTTATCCAGACTAAGATCATCCTCAATTCTAGGACTCCTGTCCCTTATCCACTCATCTCAAATTTCTGTATCTCCGTAGATAACCTCGCCCTAGCCGAGATTACCTTAACGTCATGACCAAGACACATGGCACTCCGGCTGACACTCCGGTATCACCTTGTCCACATGCTGTTATTTCACAAAATACGTCCCCACATTGTGTATGTGTATGTGTATTTTTTATTAGTTCATTTAATATGTACTCTAAAACTCACTAGACAGAGTATAAAAAGTATACCTTAGACCCACGAGGGTACCTTACTTTTATAGCCAGCACTAACTTGATCCCTGTAGAAGCCTAGCTTCAATGAACTTTGGCTCAATACTTATTTTGGACTCCCAGCTAGACTAAGATAAATTCCCTAAGAGCTTTATTTTTATCCAGACTAAGATCATCCTCAATTCTAGGACTCCTGTCCCTTATCCACTCATCTCAAATTTCTGTATCTCCGTAGATAACCTCGCCCTAGCCGAGATTACCTTAACGTCATGACCAAGACACATGGCACTCCGGCTGACACTCCGGTATCACCTTGTCCACATGCTGTTATTTCACAAAATACGTCCCCACATTGTGTATGTGTATGTGTATTTTTTATTAGTTCATTTAATATGTACTCTATTTTTTGTAGCAATAAAATGTTAATGTAAACTAGAGTAACATGTTACTGTAAAATAGAGTAACATGTTACTATTTATGTCAATTTTGATAAATTTTTTAATTTTTTAATTTTTTAAGAATTTCATAGTCAACATAGATTATATTTGATAGATCTTGATAAAAGGATTCCAAAAATATTAATTTTATTAAAAATCGACATTTAAATCAAAAGTTATATTATTTTAAAATTTAAAATTTAAAATATTAAATTACTCAATAAATATATTTTGATAATAGTATTATATGTTGAACTTTTCAATTTTTTTTTTCTTAAGACTTATTCTTAATGTATTTAAGTTTTATTATCAAAAGATTTTTACCAAATCCCTTTTTTCTATTATACCTTCAGTTTTGTAGGAATACGTATAGCAATCTTTGTTTTTTCTTTCTTCCAAAAGGGGCCCTAAGAGGACTAGTGGGAGTGTGGGTATAATAGTCTTTTTAACCAGTAACAGAAGGAGAGGCATAATAGCTTTTGTTAGAATGAGAGGCTGTTGTGATCAAATGTCTGGGGTGGGGGATACAAGTTATAACAAGGAAGTTTGGAGGAGTGGCTGATGAGTGGGTCACTGTCTTATCCTAATTGTAAGAATGAGAGACAGCCAAAAAATTAAGAAACAAGAGATGGTTAGCAGCCTCACAACCCTTCAAATTTCAGTTTCAAAACATTCATCATCATCAACAACTACCTCCAAAGGAGAGGAGGCATCATGGCTAGGCTTGTGGTGCTCCAGCACAAACAACCTTCTCTCTCTCTCCTTCCTTCTTCTCTCTCTGATTTCAATGGCATCAGATTGAACACCTCTATTCAGGTACCCCTCTCTCTCCTCCCAATCTAGTTTGGTAGAACTATTGTGTGTGCCTCTCTGTGTTTTTATTTAATGTTTCAACTGTTGAACCCAAATGAGTTTAACTGAAATGCTTGGGTAAATCACTAAGTGGGGTTAATTGGCTCAAATTGTAAGCATCTCATATTAGCCAATTGAACCATTACTACACACTCTTTCACATGTTGAGTTCAGCTTTAGGCAATTGAGTATAATCAGCACCTTAAAAAAGAAAAGAAAAGAAAAAACAAAGGCATTAAAATTAGCATAATAGGACAGATGGTTTGGTCATGAACAATGAAAACCTATAGATGTAACCATAAGGAAGGTGGATGTGATCACCACATATGAAAATGTAAGGCATACGAATTTGTTTAATCTAACTGAGAATATAGCCTTTGACAAAGAAAAATGACGAAAATATATTCAAATACCCCACTTGATTGAGAAACAAGGCTTAATTTCATTTGGTTTGGTTTGGTTTTGTTTGATTTAGGAGAAAAGCAAAACCCATCATGATCTAAGATTGGTGACTGACAGTGATACATAATTTTGCCTATCAAGAGCACGATGAGTTTGTTCTATGTGATGTGCACATTTATTCAAAACTTAATGAAGTTAATGCCTCTCATCAGTTTTATTAGCAAACAAATTAGTTGGCTTATTTAGGCATCATTTGTTGGCGTGTTTTAGAAGAAAAATTTTCTGCTTCCGAATGCAAGATCTGGCTGATTTTTGTTATAGGAGTTGAGAATCACACACACTGCACATGTCTTACTCAATGTTTCTAGCAATTTATGTATTTCTTAATTTATTAATATCCATATCTCATGTAGTATAAAAGAAAGGTATGGCAATCAAAAGGAGCGTTACACGTTTCAGCATCAAGTGCCAAGAAAATCCTGATAATGGGAGGGACTCGGTTTATTGGTGTGTTTTTGTCAAGACTTCTTGTAAAAGAAGGCCACCAGGTATGAACTCTTCTCTTTACATTTTAACATTTACATGTACTGATTTTCTTTTCCCAATTGTTTTAACTTTCTTAACCATCTTTGAGGTGGATGTGATCACCACATATGAAAATGTAAGGCATACGAATTTGTTTAATCTAACTGAGAATATAGCTTTTGACAAAGAAAAATGACGAAAATATATTCAAATACCCCACTTGATTGAGAAACAAGGCTTAATTTCATTTGGTTTGGTTTGGTTTTGTTTGATTTAGGAGAAAAGCAAAACCCATCATGATCTAAGATTGGTGACTGACAGTGATACATAATTTTGCCTATCAAGAGCACGATGAGTTTGTTCTATGTGATGTGCACATTTATTCAAAACTTAATGAAGTTAATGCCTCTCATCAGTTTTATTAGCAAACAAATTAGTTGGCTTATTTAGGCATCATTTGTTGGCGTGTTTTAGAAGAAAAATTTTCTGCTTCCGAATGCAAGATCTGGCTGATTTTTGTTATAGGAGTTGAGAATCACACACACTGCACGTGTCTTACTCAATGTTTCTAGCAATTTATGTATTTCTTAATTTATTAATATCCATATCTCATGTAGTATAAAAGAAAGGTATGGCAACCAAAAGGAGCGTTACACGTTTCAGCATCGAGTGCCAAGAAAATCCTGATAATGGGAGGGACTCGGTTTATTGGTGTGTTTTTGTCAAGACTTCTTGTAAAAGAAGGCCACCAGGTATGAATTCTTCTCTTTACATTTTAACATTTATATGTACTGATTTTCTTTTCCCAATTGTTTTAACTTTCTTAACCATCTTTGCTACCTTATGGCATGCAATTAAAATTGGGTCGACAAATTACTACACAGATTTATAGTTGATGACGTCTTTGACTTTTTAATAAACAAGTTTTATGTCAAAATGCAGGTGACTCTATTCACAAGAGGAAAAGCTCCCATCACCCAACAATTGCCTGGAGAATCAGAGAAGGATTATGCTGATTTTTCTTCCAAGGTTATTAATTATGACATATACACTGGAAAATTCTATTGGCCTTTTTGATCAGTTTCATATTTTTCTTTGTTGAGGAATGAAATATTGTATTCTAAGTGTAGATCTTGCACTTGAAAGGAGACAGGAAGGACTTTGAATTTGTGAAAGCCAATCTCTCAGTTGAAGGCTTTGATGTTGTTTATGATATTAATGGTATGCATTGCAATAACTTTTTACCCCTTATGCAATTCACACAATGTGTACTTCCCTTCCATTACTACAATTAAAGAATTTTCTTTTGGTTCTATCTGGACGAAAGATATAATGTTTATTTTCTTTTGTATTTTAAGTTTCTTTTAATGAATGTCTTTGGCATATCTTCAGGAAGAGAGGCAGAAGAGGTGGCGCCCATTTTGGATGCATTACCGAATCTAGAACAGTAAGCTATGAATGGTCTAATCTCAAATATGATATCCAATTTCACAAGATATGCAATTATGTCAGATGATGAGGGTGGATTGTGCTTTGGTATTTGTCATCAAGCATTTAGTTTTGGTCTTCTTTTGGTTCTGCTCCTGGTTAAGAATCTAAAAAATTCTAAAAGAAATATTTTCAAAATTTGAAGGGACAAAAGTACATCATACCTAGTAGAAAATGATCAAAGTGGATATCATTTTGAATTTTTCTGCAGTTAAAACACATCTCTCAATCTTGTTGGCCTCTTTTCAGATGCACAAAAATATTTGAAAGTTAAATTGAGCAAGATAAGCATAAGAGGTGAGATAAAGAAGCATCAATTTGCATGGTTTTGGCATCTCCAAAGGGCAGCATAATTAGTTCCATGGAAAAATATGAGATCTATGATTGGGAGCACTGCCCTACGCTCAGACAGATCACTGAAATTGATGCTTTTCTTTTTCCAATAGTAATTTAAAATTCTGCTGCATCTCAGGTACATATACTGCTCTTCCGCTGGTGTTTATCTCAAATCCGATCTTTTACCACATTTTGAGGTCAGTTTGTTAGAATTTTCTGTCATTATGGGCCAATCTGTCAATTATTTTTGTTTTGTGAAAAACTGGATTGGTTGTTGCTCCGTCAAACGAAGGCATACTGGTCAACCCATCTGACGGCTAGCGATCGGATTTACATGGGATTATGGTGCACCTTAGTTACACCTTGGCCGTGGTGTAAGATACTTGTGATAAGTGTCTGTTTAGATTTTGGATTTGCGTAGAGATTTGTGTAGGACGAAGTAGGGAAAGGAAATGTGGAGGGAAATGTGAATGCAATAGAAGCTAATTTTATTTCAGATATCCCTTTTCTTTTCTTTTCCTTCCGCAAATATTTACAAAAATCCATGATCCAAACACAACCTATGAGTCCATAATGGAATTACTCTTAAGGATAACACACTATATAAGATGGTCTGGTCCCTACTCTCACATAACAAGCTTCTCAACCCTTTGTTCATACACTTTTCTTTTACTTCTTACGTAATCTAACTTCTTGGTGCCTTGTGGCAGACCGATGCAGTTGATCCAAAGAGCAGGCATAAGGGAAAGCTTGAGACTGAGAACTTATTGAAATTAAGGGATGTTAATTGGACTTCTATAAGACCAGTCTACATCTATGGCCCACTGAACTACAATCCTGTTGAAGAGTGGTTCTTCCACCGGTTAAAAGCAGGTCGACCGATTCCAGTTCCCAACTCAGGAATACAAATAACCCAGCTTGGGCATGTAAAGGTAGGAAATTTATTTTTCGCAATTCAATATCCTAATGTTATATGTTAAGAAGCACAGACACTTCTAAGAAGGTAAAGTGTCATGTCAGACAACAACAAGACCTGACAAAACACTCGTCTAACACTTAGACACATATGAAATACACTATAATTTTAAATAAAATTACTTGGAATTCAATGATCAAAAAAATAATGTAAATTTATATCTATTTTTCTCTTTAGACTTCAAAAAGTATTTGGTGTGAACTTCAAACATTTCTGTCACTAACATAGTGAGTGATTGCATAACTTAATCAAAAAACTGGAACAACCTCTTTGTTGGGGTAAGTTGTAAAGAGCTGTTTTGAGTAGTGAAATGCTAAGGTTGCACTGTGTTCATTCTGCTTCGCTTTTTTTCCCCCGGAAAGAAATCTGTGATTGCTTTGGAAATCAATTCAAAGTTCAGTGTCAATACACTTTTAATTTGCTTCAAAACTGGCCAAACACCCCTGGCCAGCATCACATAATCACCGACTTTTTATGTTTTATTGTTTTATAAAACATCTCTAATACAATTGAGTTGAAAAAATCTCAGGATTTGGCAATGGCTTTTATTCAAGTTCTTGGTAATGAAAAAGCCAGCAAGCAAGTATTCAACATCTCTGGAGACAAATACGTCACATTCGATGGATTAGCAAAGGCATGCGCAAAGGTATTTTGCCAATATATATCTCTATAGCAATAAATATAACATAATTTATTGAAAGATGAAGTCACTACTGATGTATTTCCTACAGGCTGCTGGATTCCCTGAGCCTGAGATTATTCACTATAACCCGAAGGAGTTTGATTTTGGTAAAAAGAAATCATTTCCCTTCCGTGACCAGGTATGTCTGATGCATAAATTACAGTTCCATTGTTGGTTACATGAAATTATTAAGAAATGTCTCATTTATAAGATATTATTCACTACATAAAGACAATTTGGAATTTTTAGATAGGGTTCCTTTAGTTCTGGAAGGCAGAAATTCATTTACGGTGTGTTTGGTTGGGAGATTTGGGAAGGGATTTGGAAAGAGAAAGGGAAAAAATGTGTAAAATTAGGTGAAATATATGTATATTTTATTCATTTTACCTAACTTTTCCTTTTTCCTTTCCAAATCCCTCCTCAAATCCCCCAACCAAACACAACATTAGGACTTTTATGCTTTCATGAAAACAACTTATCTGTAACCTTTACCGTGGGACTCCCTCCTTTAATGATAAATATTTTGAATGAAAGTTCTGCTAAAAAACATTGAAAAATGAAACATTTTATCATAATTTAATATGAAGAAAAGACTACTGATAGTTGTTATTTTCTATCAATATCATTGTGATCATATATTGTCATCACATTTAAAAGTCACAGCAAGAAGGTTTGGTAATAGAGAGTTAATATTTCTTCTCATATTGAAGCAAAATTATTGATGACTTGCATCCAAATTTTTGGTGAAGAGAGCTTCATTGAACACACTTATGCTCTTGGATATGTTGTCAAGATTTTGTTGATGAGACAGTCTTGGTTGTATTGTAGATGGCAGATGATTTTCGTAGGAAACTCTTATTCCTAACAATATCATAATTTTTCATGATAAAATTGTGCAGCATTTCTTTGCATCGGTTGACAAGGCAAAGAGTGAGCTCGGTTGGAAACCAGAATTTGACTTGGTGGGAGGTCTCGCCGACTCCTACAACCTAGACTTTGGTAGAGGAACATTCAGGAAAGAGGCTGATTTCTCAACAGATGACCTGATTCTTGGCAAGACTCTTGTTCTTACCTAGATCATTTCATTTCTTCTCAGTTTTTTTTTTTTCTTTACTCATTTTTCAATTTTTTCTTCAGCCTTCTGTCCATTTGGGATTAACAAATCCTAGGCTTTTGTAATGACCACGATGTCAAAAACTAAAAAATTAAATGTTAAACGTTATTTAAGAATGTGACTTGAAATTTTTTTTTTAAAAATATAGTTGTGCTACTCTTCCTTTTTTTGTGTTGGGAATTATTCTCATAGTGAAAAGATTATAATTGTAAGTCCTTTTTTTTGCACTTTGATAGGCGAGTTTGGTTTACAAGTCAATTTTTAATACTCTGATAGGCAAATGTGATTTTGTTCACCCACTTAAATCTACTGCTTTAAGTGGGATCTACTACTTTGGGGAGAACCAATTAGGTGGGTGAATTTTGCCAAGAATTTAGAATACCAAACCAGCTAATTTCACTCTTATTTTTTATTTATTTTTATTTTTATATATGGTATCAATTGGATGGGATACAAAATTAGGAGTTATTTAGGATTTCTGGAAACGTCATCTGATAATGACTTCTTGGCTATTGTTGTTTCTTTACGGTTGTTTGAGAAGTTGCTATTTTAGTAAACTATTTTAGTTTTTAGTTATTTTAAGAGGTTAAAATTTTTGTATTTAGAAAGATAGTTAAATTTTTTTGTAGTTAGATGTAATGTTTGTGGGATAAAAAGTGAAATGATTATGGGTTTGATATGACATTTTGTCTTATTGACTATTTTAGTCTATTTTATTTTTTAGAATTATTTTAGCTAAAAAAACCAAAAAAGCGTGTAAAAAAATTGATTTTTTTTTTCTCTTTTACTTTTTACAAAATAGCGTGTAAAAAAATAAAAAGAATATATTAACTTTTTGACAAATTTAACTTGCTCCTGAACAAGACCTAACATCGAATTACAAACCCTCCTGTCATATGTATTCGTGGTTGGTTTGGCTAAAATTAGAAAGTTAAAATTAGGATTAGAAAGTTAAAAAAAAAAAAAAAACAAAAAACAAAAAACAAAAAACAAAAAAGTTAGATAGCTTAATCTTAGCCCATTGTCTATGGTCTATTTATTTTAGAGCCCCAATTGTCTAAAAGACCAAAAATAGGCCTTAATATTTGTCTTGAGATTTAAAAAATTCATGAGCTACTACCATTTTTTTAATTATGTGTTCTTAATAATCCAAAATTGTATCTAAAGAATCCTCACTAATTTATCAATAGTTTAATCTTATATACTAATTTCATATATTTTCTAAAATGCTCCAACAAATAAAATGGGATAAATTACATTGACCTCTTTTGATTTAAAAAAAATATATATAATAAACTTTACAAGTTTGACATTATTATGTTAGGCTCTTTTAAAATTTTAATTCTTGTAACACTTGGTCTCATTTTTATTAAAAATTCGTTTGTTTTATGAATAAAAAATGCAACAGTGCTGGGACACTCAGCACCCCCACCTCCACGTGGGGCTCTGTGATGGCAAGACAAAAAAAAAAAAAAAAAATTAACCCTTCAGCCAATGAAAAAACAGTGGGGGGTGCTGCGGGTCACCCCTACTGGGGGCTTCAGTCATTTTCCTAAAAAATGATATTGTCATCTCTTTTACATTAAAATATATATTTTACTTTATATTTCTTTGTACTTTTATATCATTTGTACTAGCATATTACCCGTGTTATGCATGGATATAAATGAATAATCAAAAATTAGTTTCTAAATTAAAATAATAATATAAAAAATATTTACAATATGTAGTAAAAATGATTTTTAATCAATTAAATTTTATTTATTTTTATCAAAGTTACATGTAAGAGAATATTTTTATTTTGATTTCATTAATTGTGTTCTAAGTTCTTAATAAAAAATTGCATGTCATAATTTAATTAGTAAAAATTAAATAATAAATTACAAAAATTATATTTACAACAAAATATAAATACATTTCATTTTATAAGTTTTTTAATTTTAATTTACATTTTATTCATTTGTTGACAATTTACATTTGTTAATATACTAATTGTTTTCTTATTTTGTAAAGACTAAAAATTTGTCTTCTCAAAATTATAAATGTCGTATGTCATAACTCTTATGTAAAAATGGATTGGATTGACTTGTGGCGTTGGACTTGACATTAGAAGTGGCTTATAAGTTACTCGACTCAATATTTATACCAACGTGACTTTCATCTAATCATTAAAAATTGTCTTTATCGATTCATGACTGGTATGAGTTTGTTTGGGGGTTCCAATATTAGATTAAATATTAAAAATTAGCTTAGAAAATCTAATTTGAGTCTATTTTTTCAACAATTATTGGGTTAAGCCTACAATACATCATATTTTAATAACTTAATATCATAAATAAAAAAATAAAAAAAACTTAATGTTTACGGTGTTTTTTGTCAATTAATAAAAAAATTATAAATATTTAGAGAATTACATTTGAACAAATTCTAACATAAAAAATTTACTTTAAAACTTTAAGACCTACACATTTTCTTTGATGATAGCAACTAAAATAAATTTCAATCATTATCATATAGAGATACATGTCTGATAAGAATTTGTAATATACAATTTTAAAAAGTAATATTAATTCAAAAATTTCAGTATGGAAATATGTACCCAATTTTATGTTATATTTGATTCATAGATTTGGGTAGAAATTTGAAATGAGAAATAAAAAAAGATAGGTCAAATGTCAATGAAATATAACTGCATTTTATCTAATTTCACACACTTTTTTTATTTTCATTGTCAAAATTTCTATCCAAAATCATGAACCAAGCACAAAATCAATACTTGAAAGGAGCTTTGGATCTTTTATTGTATTGATATACATTATCTAAAATTTTTTTTATATAATATTTGGTAGGAGAAATAAGTTTTTAAAATGGATAATCAATCACATTATAAAGGAATAAAAGTTAGCTGATAAAAGATTTTTTACTTATTTAAAAAATTAAACATTAAGAGAAATAATTTATGCAAGATGTGAATTGATTCTTATATTTTAATGGTATAAAAATCTAAAATTTAAAACTGATCATTTTTACATTTCTAAATTTAAAATTTTAAATGGATTAATTAAATTTTTTTTTGAAATATGTAAATTAAGGCATGATAATAATTTTTTTTTTAAAAAAATGATTCAATAAAAGTTAGAATATTTTTTAAATTTTTTTTAAAACTAATTATTTAATTTTTTTTCTTTAAAATTTCTAAATTTAAATTTCTAAATGGATTGACTAACTTTTCTATTAAAATGTGTAAATCAATGCACCATAACAATTTTTTTTTTTTATGAATTGATTCTTATATTGGCCCTGTTTGGTAGAGCTGTGGGAAAGGGCTTATAGCTTATGTCTTAACAGCTTATAGCTTATGCCTTAACAGCTTATAGCTTATAACTATGAACATAAGCTGATTTCTGACTTATAAATAAAGTATCTCCTGCCCCACTCAAAGAAAAAGCTGATTTCTGACTTACAAAAAGCTATAAGCTGCATTGTTAAGTTAAACTAAAAACATCAAAATAGCTTAAATTAAGCTGAAAGCTGAAATAAGCAGCTTTTAAGCTGCACCAAACAGGCACATTTTAATGGTATAAAAATCTAAAATTTAAAACTGATCATTTTTAAATTTCTAAAACTGGTCGACCCTTGTCCTGAATTTGTTCACTGCATTTTGGTGTCAACACCAGCCTTGGTGGTGTCGACACCTTCTCTTCTTGGTTGGCCGCAAGGGTCGACATCAATCTATAGAAGGGTCGACCCTTGTTCTGAAATTGCCCATTGCATTATGGTGTCGACACCAGCCTAGGGAAGGGTCGACACCTGCAGTGCAGTCTCACTTAGTGTTCCAGATTTCTTCTTAGGTGTCGACACCTGTGTTGTGAAAGGTCGACACCTGCGACTTTTTTCCAGATTTTTCTCATGATTTGGACCTACCTTTTTGGGAATATTTTGACTAAATATTTTGAGCGGACTTTGGGGCTTATATCTATTTTTGACCTAGTACTATATAAAGGTTCTCACTTGACCTTTTCTCTCACTTTTTCTTCCCTTTCCTCTCTCCAAACCGTGAAACACCTTCTCTCTCTCTCAAAATGTACTTTTAACTCAAAGATCCTTAGATCTACTTGTTTGAAGACCTCCACTCACCTTGTTCCTTTGAGATAAAGTGTAGAGCTTGTCGAGGGATTCATTGTGATCGGAGCAAAGCTTGGTTTCTCTTCCGTCGACTTTTGGGTTTTTCTTCCTTCTCCATTTGAGCTTCTACGTTTGAGGTAGGGATTTCCTTGTTCTTTTTCAATACTTCGTCTATAGATAGACATGTGGTGGTTTTGTATTGCATGAAAATCATATCCATGTTGGATTTGTTTGAAATCATGAGAAGGAACCTAGGGTTGGTTGTTTGAAAATGGTTATTTTATCATTGATGGTTGTCTTGGGCTAATTGGAGTGTAAATTAGCATGTTATAGTTGAAAGAAGAAAAAGCCCTAAATTATATTTTGATTTGGTAAATTAAAATAGAGGGTAGTTAACCTATGTTGTAAATCTCTATTGTTAATGTGAGTTGGGTGAAGGTGTTAATACCTAAGGGGTTAACTTTGGTTTTTGTAATGGTTTTGAAATAAATATAGTGGATTAATGTGAGTTATGGTTCTATTATCAACGAAATTGGTTTTGTGAAAACAAAAGGGATGGAATTGATTTTGTGAAAACAAAAGGGATGGAGTTGGTTTTGTGAAAACAAAAGGAAACGGAATTTGTTTTATGAAATGAGAAAAGTATCTTTGATAAGTATGAAAATTGGATTGTTGTTTCTTGAGTGTTAAACACACACACGTGGGGGTTGTATCTTTAACTACCGTGTTAGTGTTGTTGGTGGGTTTATGGTCTCATAGCAATTGAGTCTTTAATAGATGTACTAACTATTTACATCTAGAGGTTTTGTCCTTGGTCATCGGTGGAGGATGACACGGTTGTGTTGAATTGTCGTGTATGCATTATACCATTGTTGATTGAAAATCGTATGTGATGAAGTGTTGAGATACATTATCTATGTATACTTGCTCGGGAGGAGGTAGTTATGTGTTCATATACTTTAACACATTGCTTGTATCTTGATGGTTTATGTATATGTGTTATACATGTTAGTTATGC